TCCATCGCCGGCGCCGCCCGGGACTGCTGCCTGTGCTTCGAGAGCCAGGTGACGGCCGCGCTGGTGCCCTGCGGCCACAACCTGTTCTGCATGGACTGCGCCGGGCAGATCTGCGAGTCTCCGGAGCCCGAGTGCCCGGTGTGCCACACCCCCGCCACGCAGTGCATCCGGATCTTCTCCTGACGGGACAGGAGCGGGCCGGAGAGCTCCCTATAGCCATGACAATAATACTGACTGCAGCTATTCCAGTAATAATAATAACAGTAATAATTACAGTGACGCTGTGAATCATGTGGTCGTTGCGGGGGGGTGGGGTTGTGCTGTTGATCCGATGGAACCGGTTTCATCCCCAGCTGTGGGGTCGGGGGGAAGGCGCTGGCGTGACGCCTTCCCGCCCAGAGGCCGGTCCGGCTGCAGTGTAAATAGTCCTGTACATAGAGATTTTATTCTTGCAGCAGATCTCTGCCGGTGTTTCAAACGGGGAATTGCATTGAGATTTTTTTTAAGGTATTTTTTAATTCGATTCAAGCTGCAACAGTCTGATGCACTTTTTTTTTAAGCCGAGTTTTGTAAAATCGAGGTTTCGGGGCGGGTGGGGGGAGGGGTTGGGGGTGAATGTCTTTTTTTGTTTTTTTAATCGAGAGTTTTATCTTGTTCACGTGTTTCTCTGGTGCAGGGCTCTCGGCACGCAGACAATAAGGTGGACGAGGTCTGCGGGCTGGCTGGGGGTTCGCAGCCTTGAGCGGTCAGGTGGGAGGTTGGACTTGCCCCCTGTCCTTCTAGGCGGTCAGTGCCCTGTTACCCTTGGGGGCGGTACTGGTGTGCTTGTCCGGGGTCCAGTTCTTGTGGCCTGGTTCCTCTCTGCCCCTGCCTGTGGCAAGTTGGGCGTCCCAGTTGAAACGCAGTACAGCTCTGATTCCAGAACCAGGCCCGGTGTCATTTTCACTGGCAAACAGGGCCAGCCACTGCCCACTCACCCCCCAGCGCCCCATTACCTCCGTGGCGCCCTGATGTTTGCCACCCGTGGGTGCCTACCGGCCGCGTTCGCGCACCAGTCGTTGAAGGAGACCGCCTTGACGGGCGTTCTGCCGCGGCGAGTGTCGGAGGCGAGGAGCCCAGTGACCCAGCTGTGTGGAAAAGCACTGCCGGCGCAGAGCCCTGTGCCTCGTGCCCGGGATCGGCGGGTCCGATTCGGGTGGGCGCTCGCTGGGGAGGGCGAGACGGGCAGGGCCTGAGGGAAAGGAACGTCCCCAGCGCCTGGGCTGCGTTGGCGAGTGAGAAACCCAGCAGGAGAGCGGAGCAGCGCGTGCCGTGGGCAGGGCCTGACGCATACGCTCACGGGGACAGGCTCCCACAGTGCAGGCGCGTGCTCATTTAGTTGTGGCAGGGCAAGACCTGGTGCGATAGGGAGTAACCTGTCACGGTGCTGAAATGACTCTTTGTGTGGGTGTGTGTGTGTGGGGGGGGGGTTCTTAATAGAATTATTTATAGAGTTTTATTTTCTTGTCCCGATGGCTGGCGGAAGAGAATGACCTGCCTTTGCCCCAGTTTTCCAAAGTCCCTGGCCGCAGCCTCCTCTTGCTGCGGGGGCTCGGGGCAGGGGCCGCAGTGCGCCCCTGGAGTGGACAGCGAGCGTGCAGTCTGCGCCCCCCCCCCCCTCCGGGCTCTCCCGGTGGGCCCTCCAGTCGGAGCCGGAAGACCCGTCTGCTGTCTTCCTCTCATTCCTCTGTCCCCGCTCTGCAGGACCCCCGGTCTGCCCCTCGCTCCGACACGCCCTCCTGGGTTGGGGGGTTTCCGTCTTGCCCCTTGGGTTTGTGGGTCTCTGTCCCAGCGTGTTACAGAATTTTTGGAGGGGGGGTTGTGGGTCCCCAGAACAGCCTGGCACAGTTCTGCACACACCTGCTCCTGGGTGGGCGTGATCAACCCCAGGGCGGACGGCCTGTTCCCCCTGTTAGTGACCCCTGCAGGTCGGGTGACCCCCCGTCCTCGACTGCCCCAGTCCTCCCGCCGGCTCGGCCCAAGGAGCCGAGGGGCGGAGCCGGTGGGCGAGTGCAGCTCGCAACGCAGCTTTCGGAGAGCCCAGCGTCCTGCCGAGGAGCAGCTGCTGCTGGTGCGCTCTCGGCGGAGGCTACTTCCTGTAGCAGTGCCAGTCACGGCAGCGGTGCTGGGGTACGTGGGGCGGGGGCTGTGGCACACTGCCCGGTGTGGAAACGTGACCTTTACGAGACGTGTTACCCAGCGGCGCCCTCTTTCAGGCCAGTGACGCAAGTGCAGGAGCCCTGGCTGGAGACGTCGCTCGTGTGCGTACGCCTGGGGTCCCGACTGACCCCCCCCCGCGTGACCCCTCCGGTTTCCTGTGGGGCAGTGGGCGCCCGTGGGCCTGCTCAGCTGCTGGTGGAAGAGGAAGACCTCGAATGAGAAGGCTGCTGCTCGCGGGCACCGTGTGCGGACAGAGGCAGCCTGAGCAGATCCCGTGCGCGTTGGTCCCTTTCCTCCTTCTCCGAGCTGCTTCCGAACCTGCGGAGACCGAGCTCCTGCTCCTCTCTCCCTCCTCCTTTCGTTCTGTCAGCCTTCAGCTGTTGAGAGAAGGGCGCCCTGGTCCAGTCCAGTCCAGTAGTGGGGCCGGTGCCTCTCTGCAGACCTGCCTGTGTAAATAGCTGACTTCTCAGTTCAGCGACCTTCTGTGCCCCTGGAAACGCGTCATCATCATCATCATCATGATGATGATGAAGAAGAGGATTTATATCTGCTGTGCTCTGTTTGCATCTGCATGTCTTTAAGTTGTCAGGCAGTGGCTCATATATTTTTGCTTTGTTTGGGAGCTCATAAGCTTGCTGTTAATTACTGACCCCTTCAGACACGACAGTCCCCGATGGTAATGTGACCCTTTATGATGACGTAGGGAAAAAAAACTTTTCTTTTCTGTAAAATGTAGGCAATTTTTACCAGGAGCAACAAACGCATAAAATTTATTGAATGAGATATTGAAGAACAATTTTATTTTAAATGGATGGACTTTTAACGTTAAGGCAAAGTACTTATATATATTTGAACTGACTCGACGGTAATGAGAGAATTGTATCAAGAGTTTTATTTTGTACGCTTCTTTAATAAAGACTTGTTTTTGTTTGTTTTTTTACATTAAAATGGGCTCCGGCGTGTTTATTTGCTTTTCGCTGGATTGAAAGAAAGACTGAGGGCCAAGGAAGGTGTTGGGAAACCAGACCGCTGGAGGTCTGCCCCCTGTCCTGGAGTCGGCTCTTTGTCTCCCCCTGGTGGAGGTGTCAGTCTCCAGCGCAGATCTGTGCTTCTTCACCCTCTGCAGTCAATTCAATTCAAGGTGCTTTACTGATGACTGATGGGTACAATCAGCGTTGCCAAAGCAGATACAAAATAAAATTAACACGAAACAAAAAATAAAAGTAAAATAAAATCTACAGACATTTTCAACAAAGACATAAAATTTACATATACTGTAGACGGAGCATTACTGGGAGACAGGCTCACTGTTCCTCAGGCTGTGACAGGAGTTCACATACTGGGCTGCCAGTTCAGCTGAGTTCCCTCCTCCTTCTCCCAGTAGGCTTGGGACCTGTTCTGATTCTGGCAGGTGTGGGAACTCTGGGATTAGATTTCTGAATTTAGGGAAGAACGATTCTCTAATCCCAGAGTATCTGTCACAGTGCAGTAGGAAGTGCATCCCCGCAGTCTCATCAGTGCAGTCTCTGCCTCCTCCACATGCTAATTCAGACTGGTCTTGTTTTGAAAATTGAACGTTTGCAAATATTTTCTGGAAATGAGGGTGAACCGGTGCAGAATTTTGGTGCCATCAGTGAACATTTGAACTTGGTATGTATTTTACTTGAGCAGTCATTAATGTCTTGCTCTTCACGCAGTCCTCTGGATTGTGCAGTCAGACCTGTGTACCTGCTGGAGGCCCAGCTCAGGTGGGACTGTATCTCCTCCAGCTTGCAGTCTGGTGGGTCTGCTGGTCTGGCTGTGCTGGTAGGGTTGCAGGAGTAGGGTGCAGGCCGGCACTAGAGGATGATGATGATGGTTCCCTAGACTCCTTTGCTCTTTCTCTGCTGTCTCCATGCTGAGGGTTAACTGTTAACCTGTGTGTGTGCGCGTCTCTCTCTCTCTTCGTGGTGCAAAGGTCTTCTTTATAATCTCCTTCCTGCAGAGAGACTCCTGCTGAAGCCAGAGACAGATCATCTTGCCTTTGGGGGAACTGCTCTGCCTTCCCTGTGAAGCTCCAGAGCCATGCCTGCCTCAGAGCTGTACACCAAGGTAAGAGCCTGTCTGGGCCTGGGGATGCTGGTGAGATGCTGCTCTCCTGCTTGTGTTTGCAGGACACAGGACCCCCTGGGGGCAGGACCCCAGCTGCACTGATCAGTCTCTCTTCCTGGTCCTCAGATGTTATGTCCACTTGTGTGTGTCCCTCTGCACTGTCTCCTGTGGGTGTTTGTCCCTCTGCGCTGTCCCCTTTGTGTGCTTGTGTGTGTGTGTCCCTCTGCACTGTCCCCTGTGTGTGCTCGTGTGTGTCCCTGTGCACTGTCCCTTGTGTGTGTGCTTGTGTGTGTGTCCCTCTGCACTGTCCCTTGTGTGTGTGCTTGTGTGTGTGTCCCTCTGCACTGTCCCTTGTGTGTGTGCTTGTGTGTGTTCCTCTACACTGTCCCCTGTATGTGTGTGTATGTTTGTGTCCCTCTGCACTGTCCCGTGTGTGTGTGTATGTGTGTGCGCGCGTCCCTCTACACTGCCTCCTGTGTGTGTACGTGTGTGCGTGTCCCTCTGCGGCCTGCAGGTTCAGAGAGACACAGGGTTCAGTTCACTGAAGGGCCCGTCAGTCTGTGAGCCTCAGGGCTCTGGAAAGCTTTCAGCCTGTGTCTCTGCTGCAGTGCTCAATTCTCTACAAACTCATTAGATATCCATATCGGGCCGGCTGAGCCCCACGTTTACACATCCATGCCAGTGTATGTACGGGGGGTTTGTGTGAAAGCAGTGAGCACACAATTTTGTTGTTGTGAAGTGTTTTTGTGTAGTGTGCTATGCTCAGCAGCTGACTCGCATGCAAAGCTGCTTTAGTTACTGTACATGAGTTGCCATGATAACTGGCAGCTCTGAGCTGCTGATGTGTGTTGTAAGTACAGGCAGAACTCCGCAAGCTCATTGCACAGCGACGTTACTCTGTGAGTCCTGCTCATGACCCGTGTGACAGAGCTCCAGGCTTTAAAGATTTGTAAAGGCAGTTTTATTACTGGAAAGAGCTCAGTCAGCTGCTGTGTGGGTGCTCCTTGCATCCCAGGCACAGATAATGAGTAATCCGAGCTGTCAGAGACAGGGATGACAGGCGTTAATTTTTAACGAGAGACCAGGTTTTTATGCTGATGAGACACAGGGGCCACCCTGGTCGCTGACCCTGTGTAACATTCGCGTCTGACGCTGCTGGGAAGTGCAACGGAGACTGGGAGCAGATTCCCATTGCACAGCAGTCCGATCCGCTCCGGGATCTGCCGGCTGCAGGCACGCTTGTCGAGAAGCAGATGCTGAAGAGAGGCTGGAGTGGACCGCAGTGCGGTGTCGTGGGTGTGTGATCCGCTGTGCTGTCCGCGCCAGTGACAGTTCCTCTCTCTCTCCACCAGGGGGCGCGCGTGTGGGTGCCGGACGCCGAGACCGTGTGGGCGTCGGCCCAGCTGCTGCAGGGCTACCGGCCCGGGGAGAGTGAGCTGTTCCTGCAGCTGAGTGACGGCAGGGTGGGTCCCACTCGCGCCGGTGATGTCATCGCCGCGTTCTGCCCCGGGGGCGGGCACGTGTGGCATGGCATGTCATGGCCTGGTGTGCTGCCTCCACCCAGCCCAGGTCAGGAGAGGTGCTGCAGGAGGCAGGTGGTTCGCCTGCCTCTGATCTGATCGAACCCGCAGCCGTTCCACTCTGCTTGGTGTTACTGTGCCAGCCCGGTCCCTCGCTGTGGCTGCCCTCTGTCTGTCTGCTGATGGCAGGCGTGGGCGGCGGTCCCAGGATCGCACCAGGCAGTCGCTCTGCACACACCTGCGCAGGTGGCGCAGCTGAAACCTGAGGCCTGTCTCTGCTCGTCTGCTCAGGGTGTTAACAGTCAGCAGCCATATCACCCTGCAACTCACAACTGGCAGCCCACTGAAGCTCAGCAGGTGTGAGCCTGGTCAGTACCTGGAGGGGAGACTCCTGGGAAAAACTAAGGTTGCTGCTGGAAGAGGTGTTAGTGGGGCCAGCAGGGGGCGCTCACCCTGTGGTCCATGTGGGTCCTAATGCCCAGTATAGTGACGGGGACACTAGACTGTAAACAGACGCCGTCCTTCGGATGAGACGTAAAACTGAGGTCCTGACTCTCTGTGGTCATTAAAAATCCCAGAGTGTTTCTTGAAAAGAGTAGGGGTGTTACCCCAGTGTCCTGGCCGAATTTCCCATTGGCCCTTACCAGTCATGGCCTCCTAATAATCCCCCTCTATGAATTGCCTACATTACTCTGCTCTCCTCCCCACTGAGAGCTGGTGTGTGGGGAGCGTTCTGGCGCACTATGGCTGCCGTCGCATCATCCAGGTGGGGCTGCACACTGGTGGTGGTGGAGGGGAGACCCCATTACCTGTAAAGCGCTTTGAGTGGAGTGTCCAGAAAAGCGCTATATAAGTGTAAGCAATTATTATTAACAGACATCTCCCTCTCCTCCTCTCTCTGCCTCTCTGTCTCTCCCTGCCCCTGCAGGAGGTACGGTACCCCGTGACCGGCCCGGGGGCCCTGCCCCCCCTGGGGAACCCCGAGATCCAGGACGGGGAGAGCGACCTGACGGCGCTGAGCCACCTGCACGAACCCGCCGTGCTGCACAACCTGCGCCTGCGCTTCCTGGACTACAGCTGCATTTACACCTACTGCGGTAGGGGGCGCTGTTCCTCGGGCCCAGCTGCTTCGCTCTTTAGCTCCCTGTGAGCCAGAGAGAGTCCATGTTTCACTGGGGCCTTGCAATTACAGTAATGAATTGATCTGATTGCTTGATTACCAAAGCAGTTCAACTCCCCTGCCCGGCTGCGCGGGCAGTGAGGGTGTCAGAGGACCTGGAGTCCGTTGTCCACTCTGCCCGGCTCTTGTCGTCTCTTCTCTTTCAGGTTTTCCAGCAGGTTTCCATGCTTCTGGGCTTAAGCCCGGTGTCTCCCAGCCAGTAGCTTCCCTGGAAAACCACTGTCTGCTGTCAGCTGAGACCTTGAAGCCGTATAAACCTGCCTCTATTCCCTGCTCCATGCGCTTGCTCACAGTCTCCTGTGCAGCTTGTGCTGGAAGCGGTGCTGTTTTGTAATATTACCACCCGCTGTCACCAAAAAGCGCAATCCCTCATTCAGGACCCCAGCCACAAACTGTTATGCCCCCGCGCTCTGGCAACCGGTACGGCACCATTAAAGCCCAGACCACTAGACTCAGGAAGAGCTTCTATCCTGACTGCAGTGCACATCCTCAGCAGCTCTCTGCAGTGCCTCAGTGCACCTCTCGCCTGCACTTAGACTCGGACACTTTGGATCACCATGTTTTTTTCACTTCTTCACATAGTGATTGGTATCTGCAACATGTTTCTTGTTCTGGTTGTTACTATTAATTATGTATTGTTTTGTAATGTGATGTCTGCACAGTGTGGTGACGTCATCGCCCTCCCTGCACTTAGCAGGGACCTCAGCACCTGGGCTGGGGGAGGTCTCCTTTAGCTCACTGGGCTGGTTCCCTGTGGCGTTACGCCAGAGACCCGGGTTCACGCCCCAGGTGCCCCGCACCCCTGGCGGAGGGCATGAGCCTGCACGGAACCGCGATTGTCACGCTGTACTGCATGTACTCTAATCTAGGTCTACCTACCTATTATTTCTACTTAGATTATGACATGACTGCTAGCTCTATGAATCCTTGTTATTCTAGGAAAAAAAACTTAAACTGGGTGACAACTGATCTTTTGGGAAAGACTCCTCTTCCTGTAGAAGGTGATGCACAGGAAGCGAGAGGAGGAAGGCATTCAGCGTTGCACAGGTTGCAGGGCTCTCCCCAGTGGGGCCTGACGCAGACGTGCGGCGCCAATCCCACCTCCCCCCTGCACATTCCTTCAGGGATCATTTCTAATCCACTCTGGCTTGCACGTTAACAGGGGGCATTTCAATCCGTTCGGCTCCTGGAGAATTGCTGTTGCTCGAGGTTTCCGTGACGGCACTTGAGCGGATTAGCCGGTTGTCTCCCAGGGTCACCCAGTTTTTCCTCCCCTGTCTGTCCCAGGTATCGTGCTGGTCGCCATCAACCCCTACGAGCAGCTGCCCATCTATGGCGAGGAGGTGATCGATGCGTACAGCGGCCAGGACACCGCTGACATGGACCCCCACATCTTCTCCGTCGCCGAGGAGGCCTACAGACAGATGGCCAGGTCAGGGGTCAGGGGGTCAAGGTTTGAGGGTCATGGCATGGCGGTGGGTGCCATGTGTCCTACCTGTCAGGTAGTGGAATTCCAGCCAAGGTGTGAGTGATGCAGGAACATCCACCATTGACGGGTTTCAACCTCAGACCGCTCAAGGTTCGAATGTAGGTGTAATCGGAGGGTTGGACTTTGCTGTGCAAGGAGTGAGATCCCGATTCGGATTTTGTTCTCTTTTGTTCCCGATCTCTCCATGCCCTCAGAGAGGAGCGGAACCAGTCCATTATAATCAGCGGAGAATCCGGCGCTGGCAAAACCGTCTCTGCCAAGTTTGCCATGCGATATTTCGCAGTGGTCGGGGGGTCAGCCCAGCAGACCAGCGTGGAGGAGAGGGTACTGGCCACTAACCCCATTATGGAGGTACGGGGGGCAGGGGTGGAGTAGAGCTGGGAAGTGTTGGGTGGTGGAGTTCCACCAAGCGTGGGGCACTTGAGAGTGTGGGAAAGGGGGCGTGTTCACATTGAGTGTGGGTGGGGTTATGTAAATCAGATCAACTTTGGAACTTGTGTGGGTGTGGTTATATAAATTGAAAGGTTGGTGTGGGAGGAGTTGAATTGTTATGAGATGTACAGGTATAGGAGGCGTGAACCCCTGGTTGATCCTTGTGTGACCTCCTTCCCCCAGGCCTTTGGGAACGCAAAAACGACCCGGAATGACAACAGCAGCCGCTTTGGCAAGTACATCGAGATCGGCTTCGGCTGCCAGGGTGACATCATCGGGGCCCACATGAGGACCTACCTGCTGGAGAAGTCCAGAGTCGTCTTCCAGGTGCCTGATTAAAGAGAAGCGTGCTGTAAATAAATCCAAGCTTACGAATACCACTGATACCACCGACCTACGCAATGGCCGAGGAGGGCCAGTGGGTGGTTTGCTCAGTACGCGTTCAGCTGCTGGCACTCGGTAATCAGCAGGAGCTCATACTGACCAGACTAGGAGTTCAGGCAGAGCAGTCTGTCCAGAGATCACCGTCTCTTCGTGTCTCCTCAGGCCCCAGAGGAGAGAAACTACCACATCTTCTACCAGCTGTGCACCTCCTGGGACCTGCCTGAGCTCAGTGCTCTGCGGCTGGGTGAGAATCTTGCCCCCTTCTGTCCCCCTCACCGCTGCTGTTTAATGTCCAGCAGCCTAGGAACATGAATCACGACTGGGCAGCCTGAACCAGACCCCCAGCTTGGCTGTGGAGTTCCCAGTCAGGGAGCACAGCCCCTGCGTTCGACTGGAGACGGCGTGAGCTGACCCTGCTGGGGGAGGGAGGGAGACTGGGGACTGCAGGGGCGGAGAGTGGGGTGTCTCGGGGCTCCTCTCCTCCGGGGGGCGCTCACGTGACTCTGTGGTTCCTTCCCCCAGCGCCTGCGGAGCAGTTCCGCTACACGAGGCAGGGCGGGGGGGCAGCCGGGACAGCCGACGGCGCGGACCTGGAGCGGACACGCAGGGCTCTCGCTGTGCTGGGTGAGTGTGTGAGCCAGTCCTGGCGCCAGCACAGCCACAGGAAGGATGAGCCTGAACTGTGCCCCTGTGCTAAAAAAGGGCATCTTTTTAAAATGTAAACTCTGCTCGTGCAAAAAGATAATGATTTTAACATTGTTTTACATACAGGCATCAGGACCTTAACATAATTATACTGATCATGGCTGGTGAGGGTGATCAACATCATCAGACTGCCTGAAAATTAACATCCACAATCATGACGCTGGGTTTCTCGTGGTGCTGAATAGAGACCTACTGAGTAGATGCCGTTGGAGGCTAAATGCTTTAAAAACAGACCAGCAGCTGTTGCTGAATTCATGTCTGCACTGTGCTTGCAGGAGTGCAACCTGACCAGCAGATGGAGCTGTTCCGGATCCTAGCAGCTCTTCTGCACTTGGGAAACATAGAGATCCGAGCCAGCTCCAGAGATGGCGAGAGAAGTAGCATCAACGTAAAGCCCCTATTTCTATATTATTACCCTTTCTTATTTACCCATTTTTTGCTTTTCTGTCCTTCCAATCTGACAGTGGGGTTTGGCAATATTGCTGGGATTCATGGGAGAGACTCCTGCACTTTTTGTCATGCGGACACGCCCCTCTAACCCCCCCCCCCCCGGAAAGCCCAGTGTCACGTGACTCGCCGCGAGCTCCGCAGCGCCAGACAGGCGCGTCAGAGGCTCCCGTGATGACATCACCACACAACCGCGTGGGATTGGCTGTTTTGCCAGACGGCCGAGAGATCGAAAGCCCTGCAGAGTAATCCAGGGCTCTGCCAGCGGTGTGCCACACCTGTGGGAGTCCCAGTCAGGGGGGCACAGACTCAAACCTGCAGCACCAGGACTGTTGGGCTGCACCTCTGAGTGAGCTCCTATTTTGGGCTCAGGGCCTTGGTGCTGAGCATGCACTGGTGACCCAGTACTTTTGAGGTGCACCACACAGAGTTATGAGCACCCCCTTCGGTTCTCACGATAACGAGGTGCCAGTTGATCACATGCTATGTCCCGCAGGCAGATGACGTTGCCCTGGCTGTCTTCGTGAAGATGCTGGGCGTGGAGCGATCTCAGATGGCACACTGGCTGTGCCACCGGCGGCTGGTGGTCGCCGGGGAGACGCTGGTGAAGCCGATGCCATGGCAACAGGCATGCGAGGCGCGGGACGCCCTGGCCAAGCACGTGTACGGCCAGTTGTTCTCCTGGGTCGTCCGGCGGCTCAACGCTGCACTGCGGGCACCCCGGAGGACACCTAAATCGTTCATCGGGGTCCTCGACATCTACGGGTGAGCTGGCCAGCTGTGTGTGTGTGCTTAATAATAATAATTATAACAACAATAAAAATAATTCTGTACACTTCTATAGCACTTTTCTTGATACTCCACTCAGAGCTCTTCACAGGTAATGGGGTCTCCCCTCTACCGCCACCAGGATGTACCCCCACCTTGATGATGCAACAGCATCAGAGATGGGGATTATTAGGAGGCCATGATGGGTAAAGCCCAGGGGGAAATGTGGCCAGGACACAGGGGTAACACCCCTACTCTTTTCGAGAAAGGCCCTGGGATTATTGCTGACCAGAGGGTGTCAGGACCGGTTTTATGTCTCATCCGAAGGACGGCGCCTTTTTACAGTACAGTGTCCCCGTCACTATACTGGGGCATTAGGACCCACACAGACTGCAGGGTGAGCGCCCCCTGCTGGCCCCACTGACACCTCTTCCAGCAGCAGCCTTAGCTTTCCCAGGAGTCTCCCCTCCAGGTACTGGCCAGGCTCACACTGCTGGGCTCCAGTGGGCGGCCAGCTGGGAGCTGCAGGGTGACAGAGCTGCTGGCTGGTTAGGCGTTGCAGTGACAGTGGAACAGTACCTGTGAAGGGCAGTTTCTTGCTTCGTCCAGCACAGGGTTGCATTTGCAGGGACCTGGGAGCAGCTCCTGGAACAGGAGTCAGCCAGGTGTGTCCTGCGAGATCGCAGTTCTAAGGCATCGCAGGCCGGAGTGATGCCGTAGCACAGCAGAAGAGTATTCATCTGTCGGGCAGTCACAGGCTCCTCCTCCTCCCGCAGGTTCGAGATGTTCGAGAGGAACAGCTTCGAGCAGTTCTGCATCAACTACGCCAATGAGAAGCTGCAGCAGCAGTTCACCCAGGTGGGTCTCCCGCCCACGAGTCTGCCTGCTCTCCCTCTGCCTCCTCTGTCCGTAACGCCCCTCTCCCACCTGCAGCGCGTCTTCCAGCTGGAGCAGGAGGAGTACGTGCGCGAGGGGATTCCCTGGAGCCGGGTCGAGTTCAGCGACAACCAGCCCTGCATCGCGCTGATCGAGGGGCCCCTGGGGGTGCTGGACCTGCTGGACGAGGAGTGTCGGGTCTGTAGGACACAGGCGCCGCTGCTGCGCGGGGCTCAGCCCCCCAGTCCGGCGTGAGGCGTGTTTCTGGTGGCCTGATCCCAGCTGCCTTTGCCTTGCCAGATGCCGAAGGGGTCGGACGAGAGCTGGGCCCGGAAGCTGTACGAGCAGCACCAGAACCAGAACCCCAACCCACATTTCAGGAAACCAAGAATGTCTGACACAGCTTTCGTCATCCTGCACTTCGCTGACACGGTGAGATCATGGGCACAACACGCCAGCGTCACGCTGCGCTCAGGGGAGGAGTGCAGATCACAACCCACTTACAGCACAGGAGTGCTACTGTTTCTCTCTCTCGCCGTGCGAGTCTCTGCGTCTCTGCGTCTCTGCGTCTGTGTCTCTCCGTGTGAGCCTCTGCATCTCAGTGTCTCTGTGTTTCTGTCTCTGGAAGTTCCAGTTTGAGTGTGAGCTGTTCGTGTCACAGTGTCCCTGCATCTCTGCACCTCTGTGTTCTGCGTCTCAGTGTCTCAGTGTCTCTGCATCTCTGAGTCTCTGTGTCTCTGGCAACTCCAGTATGAGTGTGAGCTGTTTGTGTCTCTGTGTCTCTGCATTCACTGCATCTCTGTGTCTCTGGCAGGTCCAGTATGAGTGCGAGGGGTTTCTGGATAAGAACCGGGACACCGTGTTTGAAGAGCCCATCAATATTCTGAAGGCCAGTCAGGTACTTGAGTCCCAGCAGTGACCAGCGGAGCTCTTAATCTGGTGCTCCTTACCTCTGTGTGGTTTCTGACCAGCTGTCTCACTTCAAGCACAGGCTGAGCTGGGTGAAGCAGAAAGGCAAAGGTTTCACATTTTTGTTCTTATTTTAACAAGCCTGCCTGGGTAGATTTACTCAAAGGAAGAGTCTGTGACTACTGTGGACCAAAACAGATCATGGCTCTTTGAACTGGAGTCTTTGACTGGTCATTGGGGACAGTCTCTCTATAATCAACACCTGTGTCTCTCCCCTCCTGCCCACTCTAGTCTGAGCTGGTAGCAGAACTGTTCCAGGAGGAACCAGCAGAGGGAGCCCTCACCCTCCATGGACTGAAGTCTGTTTTGCCCAATGGGAGCCTGCGTGCGGGGAGAAGGAGTGGGCTTTCTACAATTCGAGAGTACAAACAGACAGTGGGGTTTCAGGTGAGCTCCCCCTAGTGGCCTGGCTGTGGTAACTACACACTTAATTGCACAGGGGCTCAGTAGGAATTCTCTGGCTGACCTCTGTATTGTCCATGTGTCTCTCTGCAGTTCCGGCAGTCCCTGCGCCTCCTCATGGACACGCTGAACTCCACCACGCCACACTACGTGCGCTGCATCAAGCCCAACGACCTCAAGCAGCCCTTCCTGTGAGTCTGACCTGGGTGCGAGCTGGTCTTGTGCTGCGCAGCAGGCTGATCCATTTCCAGCTACAGACTCTTGTGCAAACAGCTCGTAAGGTTCACGGACAAAAGTCAGGAAGCTGCAGCACTGCACGGGTTCGAGCCTGGGCCCTGTCACTAGCGGACTGTGACTGGGATTCCCCAGGCGCACAGTTGGTTGAGCAGTGCTGGGGGTGGGGTCAGTCTGCAGGGATCTCTTTGCTCTCAGCTGCACAGCTCACCGTGCTGTGAGTGACGCGCCTGTCCTGCAATCAGGGCTCCTCCTCCGGTAATGGGGCGGAGCTGCCTGTGATGTGCTGAAAGGCGATTGGCGGGCAGTTACTGTCGATCTGAGATTGTTCTGAAAGGAATGTCCACGCCGGAGCCCGGCAGTGTGTCTCCCTGCTGCCCAGCTCTGCTGCAGTTGGGATTTTCATCTCTCGCTGCGGCTTCTGTTTCAGGTTTGACCCCAAGAGGGCGGTACAGCAGCTCCGGGCCTGTGGGGTTCTGGAGACGATCCGGATCAGTGCCACTGGCTACCCGTCCAGGTGAGCTGCTTCGGTTCTTGATAATAGAGCCACTTTCTTCGGCTCTACAGAGCTACAGGCTGCAGATCCCCTGTGGAAGGAGCTGAAGGCAGCAGGCTGGCTGGTGATGACTGGAGCAGTACAAGCAATAAAGCACTGCTATCACCATGCTGTTAGCCGGACCTGGCAACAGTGAACTAGTGTGACAGTAACTGCTGTTGTTTTACCACAAGAGATCAGACCGCGGCGGATGGGTCAGCCTCACACCTAAGCCTCAGAACAAGTTCTTTTCAGGCACCGAAGCAGAAGATTTGTTCAATCCAGGAGTTTGGATAGAGGAATTGGGATTCTTATTTGAACACCACAGAGTACAACAGACAGCACCACACAGTACAATTTCCCTTCGGGATCAATAAAGTCTTATCTATCTATCAGACAGCACCAGAGAGTACAATAGACAGCACCACACAGTACAGCAGACAACACCACACAGTGTACAACAGACAGCACCACACAGTACAACAGACAGCACCACTCAGTG